TGGGAGACTGTGTCCATTACGGGTTTTGTACAAATACCTGCCCAACCTATGTGTTGACACGGGACGAAAACGATGCTCCACGAGGCCGAATAGACCTGATTCATGAGATGCTGGAGCAGGGCGGAACCCCACAGGCAAGCACGGTTCACTATCTTGACCGTTGTCTGTCGTGTCTTACCTGCGTCAGTAGTTGCGCCGTAAAGGTCGACTACATGCACCTGATTGACATAGCTCGCGAGTATATTGAAGACAACTTCAAGCGCCCGCTGAAGGATCGATTCGCACGGTGGGTAGTTTCGTTTGTTATTCCACGCCCTGCTGTTTTTGTAGTGTCATTGCAGCTGAGTCGTATGGGGCGCCCATTCAAGAAGTGGTTGCCCACCACATTGGGAAGGCTGATCGACCTCGCGCCCCTATCCGTTCCTGTCGCCAGGAACCAGGAGCCAGAAACATCAACAGTTTTGAAGAAAAAGCGCTACCGCGTTGCTGTTCTTGAGGGCTGTGCCCAGAAGGTTCTGGATGCGGACATTCATGCCGCAACGGTAAGGGTGCTGGAGCGTCACGGCTGTGAGGTAGTGGCGATGAAACGCCAGGGTTGTTGTGGTGCGCTGACCTTGCATATGGGCATGGGCGACCAAGGTAAAAACTGGGCTAAAAAGGCAATCGATCTCTGGTTTGAGGAAGGCGCACAAGGGTTGGACGCCATCATCATCAATGCTTCCGGCTGCGGAACCACTGTCAAGGACTATGCGCATCTGTTCGCCGATGATCCCGATTACAGCGAGCGCGCCAAATTTGTCTCCCAGCGCGCAGCCGACGTTACTGAGTTTCTTTCGAGAATTGGACTTGAGGGAATTACTTCCCTTGAATATGACGTTGCGTATCACGATGCCTGTTCGTTAAAGAACGGCCAACGTGTCACTGATCAGCCAAGGGAACTGCTTCGTTCCGTAGGGCTTGTTGTGCATGACACCCCTGAAGCACATTTCTGTTGCGGATCAGCTGGTACCTACAACATCTTTCAGCCCGAGTTGGCGGACAACCTGGGAGCACGGAAGGCGGCAAATATTGAAAGCACAGGGGCTCAGTTCGCGGCCATGGGCAACATCGGATGCCTGACCCAAATTCGGCGTATGACGCAACTTCCACTTGTTCACACGGTTCAGTTGCTGGACTGGGCAACCGGTGGGCCGCAGCCTGCGCAGCTTGAAGGTATCAAGCCACGGATTCACAAAGTTCACACTAAAGAGAAAGAAGAAAATGCAGTTTGGTAACGCCGAAGCTCAAAAAGCCTTCATCGCCCATTTGCGGAGCGTCCTGGGTGACCACTGGGTGAATGAGTCAGAAGAGACGCTTCAACGATATGGAGAAAACACGCTGCCAGGGGGGGATCGTCGACCACTATGCGTGGTTTATCCAGGTAGCACAAGTGATATTCAAAGCGTGGTCAACGCGGCCAACAATTTCCGCATACCGCTCTTTCCTATCAGCAGTGGGCAGAACATAGGCTTGGGCAGCCGTTCCCCCGTGGAATCCGGATGCGCTGTAGTAGACCTGGGCCGGCGAATGAACCGAATCCTTTCTGTCGATGAGTCCCTGGGCTATGCGGTCGTTGAGCCGGGCGTCACCTTCCAGATGCTTAATGATGAGCTTCAGCGACTGGGGGATCGGCTGATGATTTCAACCACCTCTGGTCCGCCTCAAGGGAGCGTACTTGGTAACGCGCTGGAAAAGGGGGGTGGATATGGAGTCTTCTCGGACCATTTTTCTGCGCTTTGTGGGATGGAAATTGTGCTTGGAAACGGTGAACTGATGCGTACGGGTGACGGTAGCCTGAATGAAGATGAGTGCCCGAACTGGCACTTGAGCAAATACAGCTTTGGTCCCATCCTTGACGGCCTGTTTGCTCAATCCAGTTACGGCGTTGTGGCAAGGGCCGGCATTTGGCTCGCGCCTCGACCTCCGGCAGTTCGTACCTTCCATTTCGCCTTTGAGGCGGACGACGACCTTGGCATTGCCATTGATCTGCTCAGGCCATTAAAGCTCAATAACTTTGTACCAAGTTTGATGCGTGTGATGAACGACATGTACCTGATTGGTGCCGAGGAAACAAACCCCGAGTTCTCGGCATCTCAAGGCAGGAAGTCCATTTCCGATCAAGGCCGGGCGGAGCTCCGCAAGAAATACGGAGTTGGATCGTGGAACGTATCCGGGGCATTTTATGGTGCGAGTTTTGCCGCTTTGCAGCCCCAGATAGATCGAATTCGCAAGCATTTCGAGCAATCCGGCAAGGCGCGATTTATTGATCACGACGAGGCAAAGACCCTGGCAGGCTTTCATCCTGCAATCGATGCTTTTAACGGAAGACCAAGCACTCATGAATTGGGACTGCTCAAGTGGCGACCCGGTGGCGGCAACCTTTGGCTGACACCTGGCACTCCGATGATTGGCTCAGTGATGAATGACTGCCAGAAGGAAGGGCGAGCGATATACGAGAAGTACGGCATGGACTACACAGTCATGAACGTCGCCAGCGGCCGCTTTGCACGCGGACTCCACAACATGACGTTTAACCGCGAAGACCCAGATGAGTGTGCGCGTGCAGATGCATGCTACCGGGAGTGCTCTGATGCATTTCGTAAACGCGGGATATCTGTTGGACGGGCCCCTACCCAATATCAGGACTTTCACATGGAGTCCCTCATGCCTTCGTTTGTAAAAGCCTGTCGAGACCTGAAAAATGTCTTCGATCCCAACTCCATTCTTTCCCCAGGTCGCTATGGTATCTAAAAACTGCGGATGCACCCGCTTTGACGTTGGCAGCGTCACTGTGGATCGGGTACTTGAGTCGGAGGAACCAATATTGGATCCGCTTCAGATGTTTCCACACATCACCCAGAGCGATATTGATGCCCATTTGCATTGGTTGGCGCCAAAGCATT